CTTGTTTGCACCTTCCCGTTTTTGCCTGAACCTTTTCACACCCACTCCCTCCACTTACATATTTACTTACACAACACATAGCACATTATTATTTAACATCATTCTTAAGGACATCTGCGCTTTTGAAGCTATTTCTACTATATTCTGCCTTTGTTGCACAGTAACAGACCTACATCTTTTATGGCATAAAATGGTGTCATTATTATGGAGGTCATTCTCAAGGACACTGTGACACATTTCTCTATCACTCCATCTTCTAATAAGAGCATGATAATTATCCACCTTTTAGCCGCTGATGGGTTATTATTCATGGAGTTACTCTACATCCAGCCTACTCTCATTCTCTTTTTCGGTTCCTGTCTCTCTCTCTCTTTGTCTCTCTCCCTATTTCTCTCTTTCTCTCACTCTCTTGTGGTCTCTGAGTCACACTTCAACCCTCTCTGTCTTCCCTCTTCATTCCCCTCACTCTCTCTTTTTAAAATGGTGAAAGCTGAGAACACATGTTGAAGCTATTGATTCCCTGCAGAAAAAAAAAACATCAATATTTTGCGTCGGTATAATGATGATGATGATTACCCTCATCTTCATAGAACCCTGTTGCCATGGTGACTTGTTTTGGACACTGTGGCACACAGTATTGTGAGGGGGGGGGGGGGAGAAAAAAAGTTCAGACAGACATGCAGGAAGACGTAAAACCAAACATGGGGGGAAAACAGATTCTGCTCAGATTCAGCCAGACATGTTAAAATGTTGGTCACTTCCTAATTTTTTAAATATATAAATGTAATTTGTTTGCTGCTCCACTATGAGGTGTCTATTTTACAAGGACATTTGGAGGTCATCACGTATTTCAGTCTTTACTTTCTTTTCTATGTTGAAAGATGCGTACCTGTGCACACACACACATGCATGCATGCTCTTGGACACACACACACACACACACGTACACTTAAATATTCACATATTCTGTAAGGTTCAGAGTCTCGGGTATTTCCACTCAACGAGTGGGATGCATAGTGTTTCCATGGAGATCTATTTTTAGCCATGGACAAAAAAGGGCCAACTGTTAAAATATGCCATCATGTTCCCTCTGACTGAAAGAAATCCCATTTCCTCTCATGCAGGAAGAATGGCATAAAGTTTTCTCTTTTTTCGTGTCTCTGTCTATTTGGAAACAGGATGTTAGATAGGTACCATTTGTCAAAGCAGATTTGATCACAGATCCTGCTGTGTTTGACAGATCAGCGCATTACTAGCCATTAATTATTGAGTAAGAACAGTGAAGAAGAGGAAAAGAAAAAGGTTTATCTTCATCAAGTTTTATTGTATAATAATAATAATATTAATAATAATAACAATAACAATAACAATAATAATAATAATAATCTGGATTATCATTTCCTCAAAGCAAAAAAAAATAAATTCTCTATTTTTAATGATATTGTATTTTATAATCTTTACATTAGTGTTGTCACTTTGCCAAATGTCATGGTCAGGTTTCTAAAATGACTTAAGAGTAGAGAGGCTCATTAAAGAGTCATTTTGTCCGTTGAATTACAGAAGCAGGGGCAACTTTTCTTGGCCCTGAACCCAGGCACAGTCCTTTCCATGATTAATTCCACAAACCCAAGGTTTTTAATGGACATTGAAAATTCTAACTCTAATGCTCACGATCAACTATGGCCAAATGAATCATGTCTGCTTAATAAGCTAGTATTCAGAGGAAAGTTACAGAAAATAAAGAAGAGTGATTTGATGGCATGCAACCAAATTCATAAATAAGATTTAAACATAGGATGCCTTTCTGTAAATTGTAAATGGCTTTTACTTAATCTGCTGAGTCACCATGATGCCCACTGTTTGTTTTAAGTCCATCAGCTGATGATCTAAAAAGGAACTGCAATTTAACGCTAATGTTAGTGCATCATCTCTCATCTCTTTTCCCATTTTTCATAGGTGGACTCAAATTACCTTTCGAAAAGGCTTTTACCGTCCGAACCTTCATTAGAACAATTACAATGTACTTTGATCAAATAAATTACCCATTATGCAGCACCAGGAGTTTCTTATCCATTCCCATCAAGTGCTCATGTACATTTGGTATGTAGTTTGCTTGTATAGCACTCTCTGTTCAGGCTTCACTACTTGGTAATGAACTTCAACTTCTTTGCAATCACCCTTAATCTCTGTGAGGTTGTTGTGACTCATCTGTGTATCGCCACAGTTTCTCTGCCCTCTTACTGCCTCCTCAAAATCCTCTGCCAGAGCAGTTAGGTGGGCTGACAGTATTTAGCCTACAATATTTCATAATCTGGCAAATGAATCTTAAGCAGCATTGCAATCAACGAACCAGGAAGGAATGATAGTGTAGCAAAGGATTTTCCAGGAAGCAATGAGTATTTAATGATTCCGGACATTGATTACAGCATAGCTTACATTTCTAATTTTTAAGAAGAACACAGTTAAAACATTTAACAAGGTTAAATGTCAGGCTGAACTGATTCACCATCTCATATACAGAGGTACATATCACATGCCTGAAAGAGCGAGGAGTATGCAGTCTTTTGTATGTCAACGTGAATTGATTGCTGCCCCTATGCAGAATGATGTATTTGCATGTGATAAGTAGCTCCTCTGCCTCTGCACCAATGTAAGATATGTGGAGTAGGAGAATTTGCATATGGATTTGTTGTTTTTATAAAAGTGACCTGACCTTGCTTAAAAGATATAAAGGGTTGTACTCAAGCTGAATATGGATATGTATATATAAGTGCATCAGCACTTGTGTGTGTGCACATACGTGTGTGTGTGTATCTAACCAACTGGAACTGGCTAAATCCTGATTATATGAGCTCAAGTTTTACCATGTGATAGTGCAGGCAACCGCAGGCATGCTTGGCCAGCCTTATTACACACACACAAAGCATGTGCAGGCGGTCACGACTCACAAACCTGTGCACACACACACACACA